GGTTCCACAGGAATTCGAACTTAAGGTATGAAACTGTCATACTGTCATTAGTCCAATCTCGAGGCTGCTTCTCGAAAAGACAAGCACCTTTTTTCATCAAGAAAGTTCCCTATTTATGCATTGTGTTATTTGCTGACGCAAACAAGCAGTTGTGTTCGGTACAGTTGACCTGAAGCAAGGCAACCAATGCTTTAAGAGTGGTTAATAGCGCCTGTATTCCCCTAAACTATTTGTTGACGTCTCAGTTTAATATTGTATCATAGTTCAAGGTCTCTTTTCTTCAAACTAGCCGACCGTCTTAGCTTTTCAAAGACCTGTTGAAATTCTAGTGAGTCTAGAAGACTACTGAGTTCATTTTTTGTGAGGTTCTATATTTAGTCGGCCAGACTTCTAGTAGGCTCATTATCTAAATTGAGTAGGTTTTGAAACTATCAGTTGATCCTAAATAAGAGCTCTATTCGCCCTGGTTTGTATAAAGTAATGCAAGACCTAAAGTTGAAATTTTCCACAACGATGTGAATTTCACTTGGATCTGCTACCCAAAAGGTTTGCTTGTACAAAGTATACTTTTGTTTCGACCTCGCTTGGGTTTCGTGATAACATGCAGAAGTTGTACGCTTCACTGCCCCAGCTAGATTCCCGTTGGGAGTACAGATGAGAATCAAGCAAGTCAAAAATACTGCCCATCTTGGGTGAGCAGTAAGGCTAATTAAAATTCAATGGCTTCAGGAGGCTTATTAGCATCCTTCTGAAAAAACTCAACTGACAGTCCCTCATCCGTCTATACGACGCAGAGTAAATACAACTAGTATTCTGGATATACTAGTAGTTTCTAAACCTATTCAACTGGATATCAGTAATGTGATACTCAACAACCCTCCCATAAACTTTAGTGTGGAAGAGGCCAAGCTGGCCTTTAAACCTCACGTCTGCCCTTCCACTTTTTGACACCTGTGGAAGTGTAGCGCAGTGAAACTATTTCAAAATTGTACATTCCAGTATCCGCGTTAGATTCCCTTTGGGAATTCTGATGAGACCTAATTGAGGTAAAACTGTGTTCCAGCATGGATTAAAAGACCTTTGTGGAAGCAAGGCTAAATAAAATACAATGGCATCGTGAGGCCTAATCATATAATTGTGAGAAAATTAACGTATCATTCAGTCCTTCATTGCCTGTATATTGTCTCCTTCTCTTAAACTATTACCGGATATATTCATATTGAGCAGGTTCTGAAACTACGGAATATTTTGTA